ATATATATATATATATCAAAAAATACGCCGTTGTCATAATCAAAACACAGGTGATAAGTGAGCATATTTCAGGTGAATTCGTTCCGAAGCCATTAAAATCACATTTATGTAAGACATTTAACGAAGTGGTGTTTTGTTTTGTTGGGGTCAAAGTAGTCGAGATCAAATGAGTATAGTGAAGAGGTGGGGTTGGGACAAGTCTATCTCTCTAATTCTTCTGTTCAATCAGATAATAATGGGTTACGTAAGCGTTGATAATTTAATCGGGTCGTCACAATGCTCATGCGTGATTTTGTCCGCTATGGGCCAGGGAATTTGTGAGTACCTAAACAAATGTCTTTTGAGCACACAATTCGGACTTCGACAAACGGATCATAATTGCCTCGGCTGTTGCTGGTGTTCTAATCTGAACAGTCTTGGATTTGTGCAATGGGAGGTGAAATCCGAAACTGGCATTCACCTTATGGCTCAATCACCTGGCATTCATTAAATGCGATTTTCTCCGTGTCTAAGCTCAGTATGTTGATGTTCCTTGATGCTCCAGATAGGTACCTTTTGTAAGACCTATGTAAGTGGCACCACAGGTGCACTTGAATTGTTCTAACATCACTCGTCATTCGATGTACTGATTTGAGAAGGAACTCACCAGAAACAAATATATATATATATACGTGCTGACAAGAGCTCTCGTTAATCAAGATTATGTGAACTAAGTTCCACAGTTTTACACATCACCTCGGTTTTTGTTTCAAATTAAACCGAATCATGCTTTCGTTTTGTTCCGACGATCAAGAATTCTCACCAGGATTGAATCGTGCGTCTTCTCGAGTACAGACTTCAGTTAGGGATCTGATTTGTGTTGCTCCACACACACACATTTCTCATGACTGCCACTGTTTTCGAAATGAGGATTAATATTGCTGCTCAAAAAATGCACTAGCAGCCTGTTTATTCATCTGATCCGTGAAACTGTATCTCTCTCACGCTCACTCGCTCGCTGGCTCTCTTCCCATGTTCTCAGTAGTCGACTTTTGTGCGAAATCTGACGCCTTCATCATGTTTTAAAAGCTCACATTCGTTGCTAATCATTATGAGATAGATCAGCCCTAAACTAATTGATACGTTGACAAAGTATTGATAATCCCGTCCTCTCGAAGCTCGAGTGAACTGAATTCCATTTTGCCTATTCGCCGAGCATGGCGAATTTGTTTGTAAACAGCAGCCGAGGTGACATTAGTGTTTGTGAATTGACAATGTTGTGCTTGTCCTCGCTTCAGATATCCCCACAGAAAGAAATCCAAGGGGGACAGATCAGGTGATCTTGGAGGCCGTTCCTTTGGTATGGATACTATGAGCAATGCAGTAAGAGGTGTATGGGAGTTCAAATCATTCTGCAAATACCATTTGTACTGTGAAATATATCAGATGCATAAACCTTTGGACACTCAGTTGATAACCAGCTTTATCTCGCTACAAGAACTTCGTGCCCGTGGTCCTGAGCGCTGACTAGAGTTTTGCGCATGGTGCTTGCCCAGCTAACTGGAGCGAGAAATAACACCTTTTTTCACAGCTGTGAGTCTCAGGCAGGCCCAGTGAACTTCGACTGTGTTGCAGGAGTGCCATCAGCACTCTGATGGACTGGATGTAGCAACAAGAGCATTACAAAACGTACAAGTACAAGCCGGTAATCAGACAGCCTCGTGTTGGGGTGAGAGATTTTAGGCGCCGCAGATCGTGGAATATGATCCAATCAAATCGCATTAGGGGTCAGAGGGAATTTACTTGCTTAATTCCACGGGTGAGAGGGACGAGACGATGGAAAACGATGGAGTAATCGCATTGTATATGCGGTCTTCTTCATCGAGACTGTTCTTGTCCCTTGTTCTCATTGTGCTCGACTCGCTTCGCCGTTAAACTGCTGCGAGGGGGTGAGACGGGAGAGGGGTTGTCCCTCCGCCATGATTGCGGCTTCGGTCCGTTCTCAGATCCTGACGTGACCGTTTTTGTTGCATCATTTGATCCTTGAGTTGTATTGGCGTGTGCACACGTGATACACCTTGATGTGCCTGTTTATCGAGTAGTTCGAGTGTGCCAAAACTCAAGGAGTTCTCTGGTGTGTTTTGATTGGGCTTATTGGATCATTTTCACTGATACAAAGTCAAACTGATGCCCTTATTGATCTTTGTACAGGGAATTCAACGATAGTGGGTCATGTCTCCTGTCTGCCAATTTGTGTTCACGGATCCTTGTGGACAGTTCTCTTCCAGTTTGTCCCATATAGTGTTTTGAACAGTTCTTGCAGTTTATTTTACAGATAACACTGCTATTGTCCTTCTCTCCATTGTTCTCTCCTTTGGTGTTCCGACAGAAGTCTCCTTAGACAGGCGGTTGGTTTGTGGATGACTTGGCTTCCATGATGATCTGAGCAGTCATGCTGTCATTTCCAAAACGTCCTTAATGTGTATGGCAGGGTCATTCTCGTTTACCCGTTCTCCGTCTGTTGTTGTTGTTGTTTTTCTTCCTTTCTTTATTTCAGTCACAGTTATTTTGATGAAGTTGAGGGTTTATCGGTTGCAATCCAATACTCTGAGGACGTATCTTTCTTCATTCTTCTTGAATCTATCGGTTCTACAGTGTGTATCTTATTAATCACAGGTCATGGATCTATATCTGACCATCAAATGATTCATGGAGTGGCAGAAAAAGTGCATCATTATTCATAACATGATCGACATACAATGATAGATATGTTTACTGCACACAGTATACAATTTGTGCATCGTATCACATCGAACTGTTTGTTATCAGCAAGACTGACAAACAGTTCATACCCGTATCCAGTTAGTGGTTCATAGAATCGGGTGAACTAACTAAGGATTGGTTATCCTTTTGGATGCACTGTCCTCGTCTCGTCCCTTCCTGTCCCAGTTACAAACTAACTCCACATCGGAATTTGGAGTTTACTACTGTGTGTGTGTGTGTGTGTGTGTGCGTTTCGATGGTGGGTCGTCGAAGCGATTTAATGCTGACCTTGAAAGGGGGGGCAGGGGGAAGGGGTCAGAGAAACCATGCAACGGAACCGGCTCATTCATTGGCATGATCATGTGAATGCATCGATTGCACACTGCCTCATTGTTCGATCGATAGTGAGGCTTGATTTATTTTACTGTTTTCTATTTCATTTTAACCTCATTTTATTGACAATACAAAGATACAATTTTCAGGTGGGACGATACGACCAACCAGAAGCGGCTGCCATACAACACACCGTGAATGAGGGAAAGTCAGACAGCGGTGTGGGTGGTGGTGGGATTGGAACCCAATTGGTGATGGTGATGGTAGTGGTAGTGTTGTTGTTGGTGGTGGTGGTTGTGAAGGTGGTAGTGGTGGTGCTGTTGCTGTTGTTGTTAGTGGTGGTGGTGGTGATGGTGATGGTGATGGTGGTAGTGGTGGTGGTGGTGGTGGTGGTGG